TTCCAACATTCCTATGTTAGTGCGAAAATTGGCGAAATCGATTTGCAGGAATAATGCCTTGAAAGTATAACACTTTATGAACAACAATTGTTCAAATCGAACTAAAACTGTGCAAGCCTATAGGTACCGAGTACGTCTGGGGTCTACGAAAACATCGGCCAATGTGTGAGGTAAATAATTGAAATTCATAAAGGATCCTTTCCTTATAATAGCATGTGTGTATGTCAGAAATGGGTGGAATCGGGTCAATACTTCCCTAAGCCTCCGTATATCTATTGAAAATATTTTCGAATTTCCGGGTGACTTCATACTGCATATATCGGCCAATATGTGAGTTATCTCAATGAAAATAAGAGAGCTTGTTTTAGTCATAACAGTGTATCTTTGTGTCTAAAATTTAAAAACTTGGGCGAAAACTTGACCTCGCCCACATTTAACTGATATAAGGATTTTGAACATGCGACTGACTTTACTCCATATGATTGGTGATGGTATGTGAGGTACCATAATGAAATCCCGGGAGCATTTTGCTTAGTACTATGTAATATTGGCAAAAATTTATCAATACTAGCCCCAATTCCCATATACTACTTATAATGATTTTCGTTATTCCAACAAGCTTTATACCTAGCTACCCTGCTGTTCTCGAGCATACCTGAGCAATTTCAAAATTAAAGCAATCAGAAGCCACTTTCTCTATCGTCAATATAGCCCATAAAATGATTTTTATCTTTCCACCTCTCATAGAGTACACCATGTCGTATGAGTAACACAGAATGCATAAATGGCTTGTATGCACTTTTAAAGGAATGTTTTTGTAAAATAAAGCAATAAGATGTTTTTTGTAGAGTGAAACATTTTGTATTATAACATCACTATTTCAAAGTTGTTATAAATATGAGAAATTAAATATAATTTAGGCACGGTCTAAATTGAAAAAAGGGCTTGCTTACCTTGGAACCTCCTCGTTTTTAAGACAAAAATGTAAACTTTTGGGAGCGTTTGCAAAAACACAAACAACTTGGGAAATAAATCACACCCTAATATCACATAAACATTTCTTTGTAAAATTAATTTTATGCAATTCATTAGAAATTTTATTTGCAATTACTATTAAATTCTTATTGCCAATTTAATTGATTAGTTGCCTACCTGAACCAATATATTTGACAAGAGATAATTAGAGCACACGTTTACCATAATTTCAAAGAATAAATCAAAATGTTAATTAACAAATTATTACTCATCTTGCTTTAGCTTATCTACATTTGAAAGCAAAGAGATATTATTATTTTGCAAATGTATAAGCTTCCCTATTTAGAGGATAATTATCAACATAATAAACCTCAAAATTAGCTACAACGTATTTATATATATTTTTAGACTCTCGCAACATGAAGCCACAGAGAGAATGTGATTAACTTAGTCTTGCCATAAATTTTGTAACAAATTCAGGCCGTTACAGAAACAAAACTAATATAATAGCGCTACACAAAATTTTATTCGAAATGGTCACCCTTTGCTTTCACACAAGCGCTTAAATGATTTGGCCATTAATCAATGGATTCAATGTTGGATTTCTAGACGGCAAATCAGCTGCAGCTGAGAGACCGAGAATATTACTTTTAAGCTACTGCTGGATGTTTTTTGCCTTGTGTATCGAAGCAGAACCTTGCTGAACGAACCAATGCCCTCCATCAAAGATATTTCTCCTTAACTACGTTACCATGGCTTCTAAAACATCTTGCTTGTATGCTTTTGCCGTAGTGCTATTCCTATGTCTTTTACCATAAACATAATTCAAACTGTGAGCTATCTTATATATTGGTTCATTTGTAAGATATCTCAACAAAATGTACTTGTTTATGAAATTGAGTGAAGTCGGTTCATAAGTTACCCGAGCTCCCATATTATTATATGAATAGAAGTAATTTTTATGCTATATTGATCAATGAGTGAGTTATATTAATTAAATTGGATGGAAATATGTTCTCAAGTAAAATTTAGTTGAATACCAGATATGCCACGACATATCCTTCTGCAGTGATCTTCGACTTAACAATTGACTTATATTATTAATATTGGTTATATATGTGATATTTTAATTAAATTGACTTGATATATTTTACTAACCGGTGAATTAAATGAACCTCCGCCCACCTCTAATATAAAGCTTTCTACTCTTGTGAGTTGGGAAAATTTTTCCTCAGATTGGATCAAGATAAAGATCTTTTTATACCCTTTTATGATTTAGAAAATGCACCCATGAAGGGTATTATAGCTTCGGTGTAGTTTACATTTTTTCTTGTTTCCATTTCCATTGCTTCGGCTACATATTCTTTAATTTCGATATTTGCATTTATACTTTATTAGTTTTGTTATTACAAGCGTCATTCTGAATTGAAGTTGACAAGCTATTGAGCTTTGGACAGGGTGGGAGCAGCCCCCATCTCATCGATTACATAATTTCATTGATTTCGTCAAAACATCCGGCATCTGCGCAACGTCAAGATAACCCAAAAGTCAGAATAGTATTTCAGCATTTTAGCACTTTTGGGAAACCAATGTGCCTGAACATCTACAAGAAATAAATAAAATTCTGCAGAAATGCAAAATTACAACGTATATGGAATAAGAAGGAGTTAAAAAAAGAACATTTTCCTACAGCTATGTGTGTCATTGAACCTTTTCTACTTTAGTACTGGCTGGACTTTGAATATTTTGTTGTTCTCGACTTTCACTTACTGAGTAATGGATTAAGAACGTGAGGGAAGGAGTACATTTTTCTTATACAATGCTATATAATTTCGAGAGATAAAAGGGCCGACACTGCAAAAACAAACAGAATGAATCAAAACAGAATGAAAACGAAGCCCAAGTGTAAATAAATTGATAGTCAAATAATTTATTACTTGAACACGTTGCAACGCAAATGGCGGCATTTATGATGAGAAATTGGCTGCTGTTATTCAATTTGCCAGCAAATCAAAATAAGCTGCTGTTATACTCTCGGAACATGTTGCTACAGAGTAGAATAGTTTTGTTCAACTAACGGTTGTTTGTATCAGCTAAAACTAATCGAGATAAATATGGAGTACCATATGTATAAATGATCAGGATGAAGAGACGAGTTGAATTCTGTTCGTCTGTCCGTCCATCTGTCCGTTGGTCCATTCGTACAAGCGATAACTTAAGTAAAAATTGAGATATTGTAATGAAACATGGTACGAAAATTCCTTGGGAAAACAAGTTCACAAATGGGCGGAAACGGAACACTGCCTCTCCCACAAAAAGGTCATTAAACCAAAATCTATAAAGTTTTATAACTAAGCACAAATATGCCTACTTCCCATAAAACAAAACTTTTAAATTATATCTGATTCTTTCACTTTACAGTATACAAATCAAATATCAATGAAGTTATCAGATTATCAAACTTTGCACAAATGGTGTTGCGAGCGTATAAAATATTCGGTTACACCCGAACTTAGTCTTTCCTTACTTGATTAAAGTGCTTACAAATAGCTGCTTATAGATGAGACTTTGATTTGAGTGGTAGTCTTGTTTAGACATTCGATTACTTTTCAAGTGAGAAAGGCCATTCGAAATATGTGGAAGCGGAGGTGGGAACACAAAACATATTTTTCTTACAGCTCCGTCGTTTGCCAAATGTTTCGACAACTCGTGTGAACTCCTGCCATGAACAAGTTACTCGATAAATGACAAACTATGTCACCTATCTTCCACCAGATGGCTTTAAATCACATAAATTTTGGTTAGAACTAGTGGCGGAAGGAAGGAGACATAAAGAGTTATTGCTGCAGTTCAGCTTAAGTCCATCAATGTTTTAACCATCAAATGTTTTGCATAATATTTATCTATTTTAAGGTTATATGTGTTTGTGTATTGCAAAGAGCAATTGAATTTCGTTTTCTCTTATTAGTATGCAAATTATATGGTAGTAGGGTTATGAAAATAACTATTTATCTGACCTAAAAGGCTACTGAATAAGAAATTAAACAATTTCTCCAAACCGTTTTATGTGAGTACTTGTATAAGCAGAGTTTATGCAAATATATACAAGCCACAAATACATTTTTGTTAAGTAATGTTCAGTTAAAAGGGTTTTAAAATTAGCATATTTTTTTATACAATAAGTTTAACTGATACGAGATATTCTATGTGTATACATATTTTAATAGTTACTGAAGCCATAATAAATTGATTTATTTGTGTGAAAATAATGTTACTTGCAATTTAAAATTAAATTTGAGGCGAAAAACCTGTTGAGAGCAGATATTTTTTTTTTTAAATAAAATAAAGGCAACAAAGAAAGTTATGAGAAACCCAATTTAATTTTATAAGATTTGAGAAAGTGAAGATAAAATTAAATATTTTAAATAGAGTACAATTGCTTGAGGAAAATTTAATCTTGATTTTTATTAAATTATGTGTATCCATATAAACAGGTTATTCAATCGATGATGCAAACAGGCGTTCAAATTAAAATCAGCACATATAACAAATGGGTGGCAACTACCAGTTAAGAATAACCGAAATCGGTATATAACCTTACCTTACCTTACCTCATTTACCGAATTTTATTGCCTCCGTTCTTCAGGTCCACTTTTTACCATATATCTCGGTCAGCCGGATCCACATAATCTTATCCATATTTAACGATTTTTTAATGTTCGCTGGTTTGTCTTTGTTTCTTATTATAAATTAGAAATATGCATGGAAAAGTATTTTGTCGTTACTAATAAATAAAAAGTTACTCATACGCAATGGCGTTAATAAATTTGCTTTTCTAGAATGTAGAGAAAGATATGGACCGATTTTTCCAATTTAGTGGAAAGTTACAGTGTTGTCACATAATACGCTTGGTTGTTCTTCCCGTTTTTATTACACACTATATTTATGCTTTTATAAAAGATTTTATTTTGATCACAGTTCAATAATTATTGTTTTACAAGTTTTTGTTGACATGAAAAAAATTACCATTATTTCATTAATAAGTTCTTCAATGAGTTATAAGCTACAACTTAACTACATTACTTAAACAAAAACATATATATTTTTATGTTACAACTATCAATAAACTCAATAATAATACTTAAATGTAGAGAAAAGTTCATAATTCCCATTCAATGGCTTAAAATCTTAACGTAAGCACGCAAGCACTTTGCTGACAACATTCCCGCTCACACAACGCACGCACACATACAAATACACATAATACTTGACAGTACTAGCTTAGCGCTAGAGTGCTCAATGGCCACTTTTGCTGCACTATGTGCTTGTACTCGCATTGTTCGTGTTGTGTGGCAATGCTTTAAGCTCGATTAATGCGTCCGATTCGTCCACACATATGTGCTCGCCTGCGATAACTTCAACTTCTTGCAATTGCATGCTATTGACATTGCTGCTGTAAGTATTTGTAGTATAGTTGCTGTTGTTGTTATTACTTTCAATACCACTTGCGTTTTTTGTATTGAGGTTAGTTAGTTCTAATGACATGGCATTATCATTGCAACCGATTTCGTATGTAATCGTATTGGTATTTGTTGTTGTTGTCTGCGTTTTTGTTGCTGCTGCGCTGCCTCCATTGCCATTCACACCTCCGTATAAATTGCCGCGTATACGCATGGATGAGTTGGGCGCACTGCTGGAGCGTATGGAACTGACGCGTGTGTGCATGGACTGCGTGCGCTCCGGCATATCCAGAAGCTTGTGTGTCTTGCAGAAGCATGTGGCAATGCGTTTATTGAATTCACGCTTGAATTTCTCCTGTTAAATGTAAATTGTGCAAGAGCGTGAATTATTTAAGAATGTAAAATTTCACACATGCGATTTATCGATAAACGGGATTATTTCTGTTATATTGAAAAGTGTTATTTTTATTTTAGTATAAAGAGCAAGTTAATATTATATTGTAAATTTAATATAATTTAGACTCATTGCAATAAATCGCTATCCAGTTAAGAAATTTTCTGACTTTTCATTTTCCATTAAAATAACTGTACAATAATTTTGTCTTGATGACTTTATGCTCTTCAAGGCATTCTCTACTGATGCACAAAAACCAGGAAATCGCAAAATTGTCGAGCAAAAATTATTTAAATACAGTTTGAGGTGTTTGTGTTGTTGGTTGACAAGTTTATCAACATAATAAATCACTATACGGTCTGCTGAATCACTGCTGAGAAATGAGTTGAAGTTAAAACAAAGAAATAATTTAATATCAGAATTCGCCATGAAGGTTTGTCACTCAGATACCAATCAACAAAGGTTTCGGGAAAGAATTTAACTTTAAAATTAATCTTGTAGTATTATTAGTTTCTAAATAGGATTCTCAATCAAAGCATTGTGCTTTCGTCAAATATTAAAACAAATATCAGGTGAACAAAATCTTCAAAATGAAGTTATTTACCACAAATATAGATCCATTTTCCAGCCATAACCATTTTCAACCTTCGTACTTATATAAGTGTGAAGAAGATTTTTTCTATTATGTTTATGTACATACATGAACCTGAGGTACGATGCAATTTTCAGCTGTTTAATTGCTTACTTTGTCTGTATCAGCCGCTAAAGTTGGCCACAAACAATACTGTAACGATGCCACAGCCTCGATATTTGCCAGATTCTGTGGCTCCGTGTGACTCTTTCATATTTTCAAAATCGCAGAAAGAGCTAAAGGATATCCTAAAAACGAATGCGAGAATCCTTTTAATATTTTTAATTTTATATTTTATATTTAAATTGGTTTTAGCCGCGCAAGGATGACCAGTCTATAAATATTAGATTGTTAGAGAAGCTCAAAATTTACCGGTTTTCCATACTTTTGTAAAGCAATCACCGCAATACGATTTTTTTCTCCCAACTTCAATGTTAGTAAGAGAAAGTAAACACTGAACTGATTATATATGTATATATGAATTTGCTCTCATTGTATGCATTGTACCATAAACTTTGTAACATAATTTACGCCAAAATTAATTATTAAGTATATTAGCTTTTATATAATTTTGTTGTAATTCGAAAGTGGTTTTGCGAAAATATAAATTTTGCCATGTAAAATGAACTGCACATATTTCTATCTAATTATCCCCTCTATTATCGTATTTAAATATCAAAAGTTTGCATAAAGTAATAAATGAGTCTTTTCAGCAAGGCATTTAAATATTATATAACTTTAATTATGATTTTGAATATAATATATGATTTATTCAGAATAATCATTGGCTGTCATTACAAAAAAATTGTTAAACACGAAATAAGCATTATCTCTTATTTCATATCCTGTTAAATAACAAGTACTCGCAAACCCAAGCACGTAAATTTATAACACCAACATAAGCACATGCATTTTAATAATTAATCTTAATTTACTCACATTGTAAATTCCGTAAATGAAGGGATTGTAACAGCTGTTGCTCATCGCAAGCCAATCGCAGCAAAACCATATTATGCTGATGAAATGGTATTCATTAATTTCGGGAAAGGTCACATACAAAATATTATACAATTGCAGCGGCAACCAACACAGCCCGAAGACGACTACAACAATAATAAGCATTTTTATGACCTGTCAGCAGACGAACAAAACAAAAGAAAATAACAAAAACACAGAAATTAGATTTTAACTAGATTAGGCGTGAAAATAAATAACGAGAAGAAGAAAATGAAAGAAGAAAAAAAAAGAAAAGAAATACAAGCATGTAAAAAAGTTAATTGAAGCTGTTATACCCTTCAAATGCGCACTTCAAATAGCATAAAAGGGTATAGAAACTCTTTTGATTTTGAATCGGCAGTTTGATAAATGAGCAGCTTCTTTGAAAGAAAAGGGCGATCGATATCTCAAAAATTGAGAGACTGGTTTATATATTATATATAAAGATTAACAGGTAGATCGACGGACAGACATAAGAATAGACGGATATCGACTCGGCTCATTACGTTGAACATTTATGTATGTACATACAGATATACTTTACTTGTATATGAACTTCGACGTTTCTTTTTGGGTGTTACAAACTTAATACATCCTGTTCAGGGTATAAGTATATAACAGTCGAAATAGCGAAAGCAAATATTGATATTAACACCCGTTGGTGGCCTTAAGCTACCGGAAAGTCTTTTGCTCTACATACGCGCTTCCACACACATACACAACTTTTATACGCATGCATTTATAAAAATGAAATCCATACAAGTATGTGGGCTGTTCCGCCTACTTACTTTCTTCTTATTTCGCAGTAGCGTTATGTCCCGCGTATCTTGCGCATTACCAGGCGCTCGTGTACCCCACAATTTCACCGCCATTTGTATGTAAACAAAACTGATGACGCAAAACGGCACAAAGTACTGCATGAAGACCAAAGTGTAACGGTATGTTTGTAATTGTTCCTCGGAAAGGTTTTTGTTCAAGCAAAATGGTCGGGTCACATTGAAAATAATGCCGTTTTCTGTAAAAACACAACAAGCAGATAGTAGCAAGCGATAATAAAAATTTGAAATAACCGTTACATTTATAAGTCTGTAGACAGGGTGGTACCTTCAAATAGTGAAGAATTTATTAGGTTGACTCTGAAAGCTCTTTGCCGCTAGAATGCCGAAAATTGTTGCTGCGAAAGATTTTATACACTACACATGCTATACTCCAAAATTTGCAAATGAATCTGGTGTATTTGTAAAAATTCCTAAAAGCTAAAAGCGTTTTTGTTGAAGCGATGTTTTCAGAGTTGGTGAGATAAATTTCGCAGAAACAGCTGGACCAAAGACTTGAAATTTTCACCCAACCTTAGATTTATTTGTGAGGTAATGATTTAAGGAATAGCTTCGTAGTAATTTCGGTTTTCTAACCACACTGAAATGTAATTTTTGTCACTAAAACCACAGTAATCCTTTCATGAAGATACTTGTCAAATGGAAAGTAATAACTCATGCCAAATTTTGTGAAGATACCATGTCAAATAAAAAAAGTTTCCCATACAGGTGCAAAATTTCAGATTGATAGCTTAAAAACTGAGGAGCTGTTCGTATATAGACATACATACGGACATGACTCAATCAACTCAGCTTATCATGCAGATCATGTATGCATACATTTTATAAGGTTTTCGACGTTTCCTTTTGGCTATTAAAAACTTCGTGGCAAACTTAATATACCTATTTCTGGGTATAATAAAAATAAAATTTGAAAAAAAGTGTTTTTTTCTTTCTTGAAAATGCTTATAATCTCTCAAAAAACGTTAGTTCAACGGTAGGCACAGTGTAAACCAAATAAAAAATTTTTCGTAAACGGAAATTGCCGGCAGGGATTTGTGTAGTCAGCGGTTTCAACAGCATAACGTGCACATGCTTATAACACTTGCTAATATGGCTGTTTGGCTGTCTAATGTGATAATCAGCTACTGTCGTGCTGACGAGTAGCCGAGAGCATTGTTGACAAACAATGTTAAGCAAACATGCCATTAACGATAGAGACCCTGAAGCAGAATAGCGAGCAAGAACTTTTGCTTAATGACAGAGTGACAAAACTTAAGTACTTAGTTAACTGCGGCTACCACGTGAATAAAATCGCTTAAAAGCCGAAATGTTTCCGCTTCCGTTTATATCACCTACATCTACAATGTGGTGTCAAGAGAAACCCGTAAATTAATTATTTTAGAATTCCTTAAAAAGCAAGCATTACATAGGCAACCCTGTATAAGTATGTATTGCATAAAAAACTCAATATATGTAAACGCCTACGCACCTCTGTAGCGCTCATGCTCCAATTCAACACGAAATGCTATGGCACAAGGTGTAGCGAATAGAAATGCCGTCAGCCAAATGCCGATGAGTATTAATTTGGACACCCATTTTGTAGGTCGAGCCCTGGGGAATAGTGCAATAAAAATACTTATTATTCAATATAACATAAGAGATAAATGATGGACAAACGAATGTGGAGCTATTGAGTATTTTGCTTGCGAAAATAACTTCTAATATTCCACAAAATAGTTTACATTAAATTCTTGCTATCGATGAGCAACCACATTATCTTTCTTTTCACACTCAAAATACGTCGGCTGGATTTATCTAAAACTCACCTGAGTGGATTTATAATAGCTCGATGCCTATCGATTGCGATTGCCGTGAGTGTGAAAACTGACACATTAACAGTTAGTGCTTGTATAAAAGGGCAAAAGCCACACATAAACCATGGCAAATTCCAGCGCTGTAATAAAGCGGCTTGAAACTGAAAACAAAAGAAAAAATAAACATATGTTAAGAAAATTGAAATTTATTAAAATTCAGTTAAATTAAGTCAATCTAAGTTAAATTAAAATAAAATAAAAAATTAAGTAAAACAAAATTAAATAAAATGAAATAAAATGAAATAAAATAAAATAAAATAAAATAAAATAAAATAAAATAAAATAAAATAAAATAAAATTAAATTAAATTAAATAAAATAAAATTAAATTAAATTATATTAAATAAAATATTATAAAATAAAATAAAATATAATAAAATAAAATAAAATAAAATAAAATAAAATAAAATTAAATAAAATAAAATAATAATAAAATAATATAAAATAAAATAAAATTAATTTAAATTAAATTGAACCAAAAAAAATAAAAATAAATCGAAATTATACCACAAACAAGCAAGTTGAACTAAATCCATAATACCCTTCACATGGAAAAAAGTATCTATACAAGAGCTTGACTTTGATTGTTCATTTTGTATGACAGCTGTATGCTATAGTGGTCCGATCTGAAAATTTGTTTGGAGTTTATAAAATTACTTTCGTGAGGATACCATGTCCAATATAAGTGTTTTGCATACAAAAATTTATTTTAATGGTTCAGTTTTGTATGGCCGTTAAATGTTGTAACAGTTCGAAATCGGCAATTCCGACAAATGAGCAGCTTCTTCGGGGAGAAAAGGACGATTGCAAAATTTCAGATCGATATCTCAAAAACTGAGGGGTTGGTTCGGGTACATGCATTTATACATTTTTACATTTATATGTATATACACATATATACTTCATAGGCGCTCCGACGTTTCCTTTTTGGGTGTTATAAGCTTTGTGGCAAACTTAATATACCCTGTTCAGGGTAAAATTGAATTAATTAAAGGAGTATAATCTCAATACATATATTTACATTAGGTTTTATGATAAATTCTTAACTACCAGCATAATATTAATTTGCGATAAAATCATTTTGAGATATACACAAAAGTATTTTACCTGAAATGGTATGCAAAATAAACCGATAACGACATCCGCAAAGGCCAAATTGGCAATGTACATATTTGTAACTGTACGCATTTGGCGTGTTGTCACTACCACCCAAATAACTAGCGAGTTGCCGATAATTGCCAAAATACTTATAGTGCCATAGAAAATGGACAATAACACCACGATTCCAGTGGGTGCTGAATACAGTCGCTCTGCGAGAGAATTCATACATGAGAGATTTTTTAAATTGATTGGCTTATCTTTTATGTATGTGCTTTATTTCTAACAGCAATTGGTCTTACCAAATTCTGCTTCCTCGAGAACTGCGTCGACTGGCACTTGAACCACTGGGTACTCATCCATGCTGAGAGCAGCTAATGCAGCTAAGCTCCGCACCAATACTGCAGGTGTTTTAAGTTATGTTTGTCGGTTGTCACATTCACACACTTGATTATGTATATAATACATACATATGCATGTATTACATTTGCGATTTTATATTGCTACAGTAATGATATTTGTTAAATTGCTATAAAAAGACGGTTGGAGACAATGAAGTATTTTCAGCAAATTTTCACAAAATTTTTTTAATGACTTTATTTTTAAGACAAATTTTAAGTACGTAAATATGGTATCGAACAAAATGTATGTGCATAAATTATAGAAATTCGATGTAGCATTCTTCTATAAATAATTTTTACCAGCGGTTACATTAATGATGATGATTTGACTGTTCATAAAAACACAGTTTCTCTCACTAAAAACACATTACCATGTAAGGTTTATTTCTATGTCCAGATCCTAAGAAAGTTCAAGCAATAATTTTGATACTTCTGCATCATGTTGCACAGAGAGTAATGATCTTTTACACATAGCGGTTGATTGCAACACCTAAGCTAATTGTGTTGATTAATAACAACGCCTATTTTGCATATAAAGCTCGTAACGAATAATAGAAAATTCAGAGTACTTTCCTCGGTAGTTTGTAATTGTGTTGGTGTCGATGCCAAACTGCTCGATTGTTTCGAAAATTTTTTAAATCATATTATCCTAATTATCCTCCCTATAAGTCATCCGTAAAATAGGGGTGTTTTTAGATACTTAGTATGTTTCCGTTTCTACCCAAAGCCACCAAATTAAACTCCCATTGTGTCCCCAATATTGCCTCCCATTCTTCTCTAGAAGTATGAGATGAACCGGAACAGGGTTTAAGCTGAATAATCGAGTGGGAGTTGGTGTCTTTTCAGTAAAATAAGATAGCCAAATCGCCTCCCAACTACCAGGCCACTGCAGTGTTTTTCAAGCGAAGATTGTAGCAATAAAAGAAAGCTATTTTGTTCTGACAAAGTGTGTGCAAATAGTCATGTGTATTTGTAATCGTTAAAGTATTTTAGGGCTTCATTAAAGATAGGCATATAATGCCATCAACAGGTGGTAGATCTAGCATCCTATTTCACGATAAACCAGCAGTGGTTACTAGGACAGTATGTATTATTAGTAACTGTGATGCAAATGAACTAGTCAGAGCAGGTACGACACTACAATTAAACTCCGAAAAAGCGGGAATTTATATGGTTTTAGCTTGGCCCCAGATATTGATTCGACAAACGAGTCTCGGTGAACTCAATCCGTAACTTGATCAACAATCAGGCAAGCGTGGCATAAATGGAATATGGGTTGCACATACCGACTATTTAAATACCAAAGGAATAACATAAGAACTCTAGTAGTGGGACAACAGGTCACAGCACAATTTGCAAACATGCTAACAAACTTGGAACACCATGGAATGACTATAGTAGAAGATACTTGTATATAAAGGTAGACGAAGAAGAGACTATAGAACACCTTCTAGGCGAATGCAATACGCTGTATAGAAAAAGAATCGCTACCATCGATCGAGGGTTTCTGGACGATGTCTCGAAAGTTGCACTTTTTGTATTGATGAACTTCATCAGGATAACAGGATGGATGAAAGACAATATAATAGACTAGTTTAAGAACTGGCGAATCGATATGATAACTCTTATCAAAAATTGACTTAATCTGATACATATCGTTAAATATGTGAGATATATTGTTACAATTAAGTGGGTTAAACTAACTGATTGTGTTTTGGAGCTTGATGAAATCGGATCATATTTTTTTAAACTTCCTAAACAATGATTTCCGTACATCTTAATGATATTGTTATAACATTGATAGATAGCAGCGGATCTCAATGTCTCTTATGGATCGATTCAACATATTCTGGTTAATGTTTTGGGTATGAAGAAAAGACCTGAAGAGATGCTTGACAACGTAGCTGAGAACGCTACATTCATCAAATGCATCATTAGTTGTGTCAAGACATGAGTTTATGGATATGACGTCGAAACTGTCCAAGAATCTATGTAAGGGCGCACAAAAAATGGACCTTAGCCGCAAAAAGCAAAATTCGCTGCAGGCACGGAAGGCCATCCTAGCCGAGACTTAAAATAAGTCAAATGAATAATAAAATGCTTTTATTAGTTCTTTTTTTTAATTTTTTTGAAAAATTTCACACGTTTTCATTAATTTTAAGTTGCTCAAATATCAAATCTTCAGTTGTGAACGAACTTATAACTTCTTTACTTGCCAAAAAGGTTTTTACGTTAACAAACATTTATATATTGCATGCAAAACAACAAATCGAAATAGACAAATACCACAGGCAAATATTTATTTAATTCGTACTACGAATTTACAAATCATTTCGAAAATCTGTTGACTTTTGGTTTATTTATTAATTAGACTGTACTTAACGAACCAACTTGGCCAGTAGCTTGTAGGATTCCACCAACACACACATTCACACACAGGCATACACACGTAAACACATGGAAAGGTTAGCGAATCTTAAGCAAATATAATTCACACATTTGTTTTTGCATAAAAAATTAAATAAATAAAAACGCCGCAGCAGCTTTATTTAACCGCAAGCGTGTTTTGTCAATAAAAGCGATCTATTTGTGCGCAATGTTGTTTATATACAAATACTATCAAAAGGGCCGCTACGGAAATGAACTGACTTTAAAAGTAATTTATCTCTGCATGATAGCAGATATGTATGCATGTGCGCGAGTGTGTGTTTATATGTGTCTGTTTGTATGTACATATTTTTAATATAAGAATACAGTGCAGGTTTTAGCTTCTTAAAGGTCAAGGTGGCAGTTCTACAAACTTTTTATCTGCAATCTTTATTACAAGCACACATACATTCATACTATTTCTTTTGTGTGACTGTAGAAAATAGTTATTTCGTTGTTAACAGTTATGTGCGTAAGTACTTAGAGAGCATGTGACCATTAAATTGGGTTTTATTTCGAGCAATTTTTGCAAGGAAGAAAGATAAGTTAAAGGTGATTTTATTCAAGGAATTTTGGAAATGTTTTGTTTTTTTTTTGTTCGCGGCAATGTTTAATATTTTGTTATTTTTGGACATGCTTTTTTGCTTTGAGACAGATTTTTACAAAATTGACCCGTTTTGCGATGACTAGTACATGTAAATATATAATCTACTCATGTTTCTTTAATTTCAGTATTTTCTTGTGTAGCCATTTTTATAATGAAGGGCAAAATGAGTGCAGAAGGGATTTGTGAATACCATTTATGCATAGCGCAAGAGAAGATTGTAAAAATTTAATCTGGAACTCAAAATCTTGTGTAATCTACAATATAAGGGCTGCCAAATTGTGCAGCAGGCATAGATCAATGAATTATAAGCAATAACTTGTGAACTTGAACAACGAGTAAAACGTTAAGTTGTTTGTATTAGAAGTACAGGTAAATGTATAGCCATTAAATTGGGACTTTTATTTAACAATCCAGTGATAGTACTCAAGAGTAAGTTACAAAGTAGAGGTTTCATCGAGAAATTCGTTACAATATTTTATTACTATTATAATTTGCTTTAGAATGCAAGTGAATGACAGGAATGCTATTGGCAAGCCGAGAGAAGCATAAATGATTTTTTTTTACAGCTTTAAGCGCATATTTTGCATACTCAACGATGCATTAATAACACAAAAAAATTTTCCATAACATTTTTCGCATTACATATGCACATACCATTATATAAGTGTTATTGATTCTGTATAAAAATGTTTGCAAATATAATTTTCTGCTCGCCTTGTTATTTTTGCAATTTATATTTACATCATATACGGCTATCGGAGGCTGATAACACGCTAATTGATGCGACATTTGCGAATACAGTAGATATGTTAATGTGTATGCTAAAATTAATCAGACTGTTTGCAAAATCAATTAGCGGTAAATTCAATTGATATGAATTATGTGCTCTTTGCAAAAATATTTTCAATTTAAAAATGCAGTTTGTGTGAAGTAAATATATGTGTGTCTGTATGTATTAGTGAAATTATGGTGTGTAAACGTTTTTCAAGGTTTCGCTTTTCGAATTCTACCATATGCGACTATGCAAAGAGACTACAAATTAAATATTTTTGCTGTTTTCCGCAGTTACTACAAATGCTTTAAACTATTTTGTCATGTTTGTAGCGTTAATTGACAGAGAAAACAGCATTTCATTTGTTGGCTGCGAAGTTATTTGTTAGTACTCAAACCTTACAATTTTGTGCCGTTAACTTTAAATCGACTAAATTCCAATTAAACTCTTTCACATTTCATATATAATTTGCCGTTGAAAAATATAATTGCAGTTATGTGTACAGTAAGTACCGGACATTGCGCGTAAAACGATAGAAAAGCGGGAACGAACTTTAATGCACTCAAAAAATGTATGCATAGAAAAATGAATTCATAAAAGCGAATTTACTATTATATGTTTTATTTTAAAAGTTTAATTAACAAATACAGGTTGGAAATTCGTAAATGGTTTTGTAGACGCTATAAACTTTTATTTTAAATAAAACATAGAAAAATGGGTATAAAATTGGGACAAAAATATAAAAAAACTGTTACATCAAAAGTGTGGAAAAGTGGAACTTGATGTGGAAATAGCACTTGATCAAATTTAACTCGGTCTGACCCTTATATCCTAGATTGGTAAAACCATTTTTTATGTTCTTGTCAAGTTTGATCTCCATATGTCAACAAGTGTGTGTTTGGCAGCTGATTGTTCAAGGCGCTAATATGCAAAAACTTGTAATGTCTAACGATATCCCCCATGAGAAAAAAATTTAACAACGAGCACAATTATTTGAGTGGCAGAAGGCATTTAGTGCAGGTCTAGCTAGTCGAGCATCCTGTTAATGCCGATAACATCGAAAAAGTTAAGGAAACTGTGATTTAAAATCATCATGTTGACATCAGAGAGATAGCAGAGAATCTCAACATCTCATATTGATCGACCTAACATATTTTGGTTAATGTTTTGGGTATGAAGGTAGGCTCGGACCAAAATATCTGAAACTTTTTGCAAAGACGACATCGAATAGTGGTAAAAAACGGCAAAAGAGATGCGTCATCACGTAGCTGAGTACTCCACATTCATCAAACGCATTATTACTAGTGACGAGAGGTGGGTTTATGAGTATGAAGTTGACACTCTCCAATCGCCGCTACTGAAATAACCACGTCAAAGTCGGTCAAAAATCAAAACTGAAAATGTTTTT